AGCCTCCGGCGAACCACAGCGGGTGGTGGGTCATCTAATAGACTGGATGAATGAGTGGCGAGGAGTGGTGTTCGCTCTGTCGGATCTTCCTGAGCTCGACGTTTGCCCTTGTCGATAGGTCGTGGTGGTACATCCTCTATTGTGGGGCTCATAGAAAGGTGAGGATAAGGAAGCCTCGTGCTGCCTCGTGTCGGGGTGAGGGTCCAAGTGAGAGATGAAAGGGAGCCTGGAAGGGCTGTGCAGGCTCGATCCGGCGGCGCCTCCTTGACCTCAACCACCATCCTCCTCCTACTGGCTCCATCCCTCGAAGGATACTCCAGTGTTCTGTTTCTCAGAGAGCTCTTTTTCACTGGACGCTATGGCAGTATCACATCCTCCTCGTCCGTCTCCGGTGATCCAAGACGAGTCGGAATATATTGGGTACATGGCCAGTTGGGAGTCTGGCTAGTTGAACGTTAACATCAAGCGGACGTTGAGCTCTGAGTGTCGGCCCAGGTCGTGCAACAGCTCGAAGGTCAAACTGTTCGCATAGTTCCTTCACGAACGAGTTTCCGCGCCGTGAACTACTTCGACTTTCTTGGCTCTCGACGGGAAAACAGCTTCGGAACACGGACTACATCCTCCAGCAATCCAAGACTTGAAGCTGAACCTGACCCACAGTGCGCACCGTAACCTCCGACGGCATCTACGGCGCTAGCTATTTCTTTCACACCTTGCCTGCCACCTGAGCAGCCAATCTCTCAGCTGAATGGCGTCATATAACCCGAAGTTCTCATGGGACTCTGATATCTTCTCCTTCCTGGACCATGCCCAGTCTCACCGCTCCCTACGCCCCTCCGCACCTGAGTCCTCCTACGACGCAAGAGAAGTGTATGTGAACCTCAAATTAGTCGCGGTCGAAACACCCACGCTTCCTAGTGGACTATGCGGACCTGGCCGTAATTGACCTCTCCAAGGCCCAGGACGCCCAAGGACGCGCAGAGCTGGCCATTCAAGTCTCCCAGGCGATGCAGACTCACGGATTCTTCTACGTTGTCAACCATGGCTACACCTCCGCACAGGTATGCATTGATTCGTTGGCTGCCGCTGCGCTCTGAATTGCGGGCTGCAGACGGCGCGGATGTTCGATATCGCCGACGTGCCCTTCAGCGCGGTGGATCCCGACGAAAAGCGCTTGTATACAGCCAAGATGAAGGAGAGCGGCTCCTACCAGGGATATAAACCCCGGCAATATTGGGTGAGTTGAACGCGACTGTACGATCTACCAGCTAATGTCAAACTACTGCAGCATATTGACAACGGCGTCCACGACCAGCTGGAACATTACAACAGTCCGTTCGAATGTAACCTCATCCCATGAATATACTCACTCTACCTCCCAGTTAATCGCGATGTCACGAAACGGCAGCATCCTGAAGCAGTTCGGCCGTTCCTGAGCGAGATCGAGGCTTTCGCGCGACACAATCACTTTAACGTGCTTCACCCAATCTTGAGGTCGGTCTTGAATTGCTCATTTGTACAACGATCATGTTGATGTTTTAATCTCCGGCTTAGACTGTTGGCGCTTGGTCTTGAACTGCCGGAGGATGCGCTCGTCGACCTTCACGGGTATTCGTCCGTGGGCGAGACATATGGTAACTCGTTCGATGTTCAATAATATCGCGACTCACGTTCCTTCAAGTCAGATTCATGAAATAGTGCGGCGCCGTTGTATCTGAGTATCATTAATATTTCTGACAACTATAAAGCTATCCTCGATCTCAGGACGACGAGCTCAAAACGAAAAATGTTTGGCTCAAAGGGCACACCGGTATTAATTACTGCTTCCTGTCCAAGCCAGTGCTCAATGATTCGTCTAGACTTTGGCAGTATCACGATCCTCTACAGCCAGCCCGTGGCGGCGCTGCAGATTCTAACCCGGGACGGAAAATGGAAGTGGATTAAACACATCGAAAATGCCTTGGTTCGCAGTACTGCTTCAGTATCTTCAACGCAACGAGCTGATATTCCCGACAGGTCATCAACGCAGGAGACGCCTTGGAGTTCCTCTCCGGCGGCTACTACCGCGCCACAATCCACCGGTATGCCCTTGCCTTCCCCTCGCGATATCCACCACCGACTTGATCAACGATCTGGCAGCGTGGTCCAGCCCCCCATCGACCAGCAGACCCACACCCGCCTCGGGCTGTTCTACTTCGCTATGACCGACGACGCGGTCAAGCTCGCACCCTTGTCCGCCAGCCCTGTTCTCCAACGTGCTAGCATTGCGCAAGCGCGGCTCAAGGATGATGCGGAGGCGCCCACGATGGAGGCGTGGAGGAAGGGGCGGACGAGTGCGTATGGGCAGAGTCAGCTCAAGGCGACGGAGGAGGGGAAGGTGGAGGAGGAGGTGATCAATGGGGTCGTGGTCAAGCATTATAATTAAGTAGCGGGATGGAGCGGAATTGTACGATAAGTGTTGGTTGAACTTGGTTGAACCTGCCTCCGCCAATCGATTCGCTCGTGGGACCATGTAAATCGTCACTTCAACCTCGTGCCTCACCGAATTTATTGGGTCCTGGATCAATCCCGCTTCACTCGTTCTTTCGCCGCAGAAATCGCGAAATATTTGCGGAACGAAGCCCTCGCTGGATAATACATACTTGCATCCCGCTTCTCCAGGAAATTCAGTAAGGCCCTGAGTTGACGTTTTTGTCCTTCCTTTCTGTAGGTCCACGCAGTGGCGAAATAAAACGCGTCATTTCAGACGTTGTGGGTCCGGAGAAAAACCGGGTGGCCACGTATCCTGTGAGAAGGGTTGCCCGGGCGGTAAACGGCTATTCCCATTGGCGTCATATCCCGCTGTTTCCCGGCGAATGAACCCTGAGAGACCGTGTCGGTCATTTCGGCGCCCGTGGTTCAATTTTTTTTCAACCTGGCATACATAGATCTGGACAGGGTGCCTGTCCATGGGTTGCTGCAGCGCTGAGGTGTGTCTCGGTGTCTCAGTGAAGGACAGCAACTCCAGGGGTGATGCGGGATGGCAGCGGGCGGGTTTACAGTCAGCATTGTCTCATTTCCCAATCGGGGCTTGCTCCTGACATTATGATTTGGTTCCATGATCCCCTTCAGCGGCACAAAATGGCAGCCTCCTCCTTGTCCCCCTCCACATCCATGCCTCCATGTCGACCTCGAATCCCGAAAACGTATCCTCTCCCACTGGCCTGAGAGCGCAGCTTCATCACCTCCTCCCTCGCCACGCCCTATTCCAAGTCCGCATCCATATTCACCAGCTGGCCAGCGTACCCCTCGTCAACGGCGAATTTGGCGTTAAATGGCAGTTCAAGAACACACGGAAAATAAAGGGGAAGAGCAAGAGCACCGGCCCAGAGCCCGACGGCGACGGGGATAGCTTCGGCAGCAGCGATACCAGCCCTGAGCCTGCGAGCCCGGCTCATCACGAGCAAGACCCACATCCTCATCTACTGGCGAAACCATCTCGAGCCCAGTCTGCTTCGGAGTCTACGGTTTTCGGCGCCGATGATGAACAGGACGTTACTTCGACGCGTGGCCAAACCCCCTGGCTGCCTCTACGCGACCACTCAGTGTCGTGGGATCAGCCACTCTCCGCCGTCGTCCAGATGTCGATTGACCGCGACACCCACCGTCTCCTCCCCCATCCATTTAAGCTAAAGGTCATGCAAAGGGTCATCGCCGGCGACCCTGACGCGCCGCATAACCCTCAGCTCGGCATCGTAGACCTCGACCTGGCGGAGTACGCCGACAGCGTCCCCGCCTCGGCGCCGAGTAAGGGGATCGTCACCCGCCGCTACCTCCTCCGCGACAGCAAGACCAACGCCACACTACGTCTCTCTATCCGCGTCGAGCCCGCAGGCGCGTGTCCGCCCTTCACCGCCCCGCCGCTTCCAGCCGGCGAGATTCTCGCTGGCGTCGCGTCCCTCCTGTCGACGCACGAGGACGTCTACCGCACGCGCCCCCGCGCGCTCGACCTATACGCGCCCGTCGGCCCCTCTCCCCCCGAGTCGAGCCCGCATCGACGGCCCCCGTTCGACATCCGCGCGCTCCCACTCGCGCACGGCCCGCGCCCCACCGAGTCCCTCATCGACGCGCTCTTCAACCCCGCGCCCGTGCGCGACGAGCGCCTCGTCAGCCCCTTCACGCGCCTCGTCGCGGACGAGTCTGACTCGTTCTTGTCGGTGTTGGGCGCGCCATCGTCACTCCTGACTGGCAGCGAGAGCACGTCCAGCGCGGACACGGCCTCGGTGTATAGCGCGCATGGGTCCTTGGGCCCGAGCGCGAGTGCGAGTCTCAGTCCCGGGGCCCCGGAGGGGCGCGCGCATCGGTGGTGGCAGCGCAGCCGCGACCGGAGCAGGAGCAGGAGTCGCGCGCCGTCCGTTGCCGTGGCCTAGTCGCGCGCAGTTCTTCTTTCGTTCATGGCCCTTATACACATTTAGCCTTCATCCCCATACATTATAGTCTTTTTCTGTTCACATACCCGCAGACTCGAGGAAGCATACATAACACATTGTAGTATTTCAGTTCCATACATAGACGACTATCGTAAAATCTTGCAATTGGCTACAGCCGGTCAGCCGTGCTTTCTCTCTTTCCACCACCATGGCCCGATGTTCCAACGATGTTCTGCCCGGGCACTTCTTGTCCACGCGCAGGCCTCCGTCCTCTCTACAAGCTCTGAATCCGGATGGATCTGTTACCACCTCGTCTCTGCCATACATGTACTTGGGCATTTGACGCACAAAATTGACGCAAAATTGACTCAGCGCTCTGCGTGCTCTCTTGACGTTGACACGAACATCGCCACGGCGCCCATTTATCTACGCCCCAAGATCTCGGGCTCGTCGAGACTCGACCCAGCTCTACCCTGTCGTGGTAGGTCTTGGGTAGGTCGTGGTTTCCCGAAAATGCTCAATGTATTCTTTCCGTTTGCGGCTTCGCGGTGGCGGCTGGGCCGGGGCCACTTCTCTCGATCGGTTTTCATCGCGTCGGTGGTGTAGCGGTAACATTGGGTCTTCCCACGTCTCCGTCATCACAGACTGGCCTAGCTCCGGGTTCGACTCCCGGCCGACGCATGGAATCTGGTGCAAGACGCTTGTTTTGTCTGCCATTCCCACCTGGCAACTTTTTGGACACTACACTTTTCACTCCGCGCCACCCAGCCCGCCCACCACTCTCTTGACTACTCGATCAAGCAAAAGAAGCGGCTATAAACTCCATCCGAGGTACAATCCTGCATGGACGGCGGAGAGCGCGAAGTTCAATGAAGACGGAAGCCGACCGAACGGTGGTGGGTACAGTACCCAGAAAATTTTGGTTTTCAGGGTAACTCGTGAGTACTTGAGTTGTTGAAGGACAGAAGTGGACGCTGGCATCAGTGGTGTGCACAAGCGATAATGTTGAAAGTGGGCACCCGCGATTCTTGTGAACCTCCCGAGCTTTCAGATCCTCGCAACCACCGCATCCGATGCGTGAAGTCCTGAGCTGCTCAGAAAACAGCATCCTTGTCATGCCGGTGCTGCAGCCTTACGACGATCCGCCGTTTGACACTGTTGGAAATTAAAACGGAGACGTTCGAAGACAGCTTGAGGCACTTTTTACCTCTCAGTCGACTCGGGTACGGCCCCGTATCAACGGAACTCCCGCGTGGTGGCATACACACAATTTTGGTTTCAACTTGCCGTGGTGCCGAGGGTCGGAGTTGGAACTGAGTGATTACCACTGCACAGCCACTATCACCCTCTTTCTTTCAGACCACCACGACGAATCGTAAGTAATGAGATGTGGACATTTTTTCATCGCTCACGAACAACACAAAGGACACAGATATGGTCGACACACCTCAACAAACCCCGGCGGAGAGGGCCGTCGATCGTGAGCGTCTTGTCGATGTTGCGGCTCGACTTTTGGATCTGGAGCGCTCCCTTCGAACCCTCAGCGCGGAGAGGGAACTTTTAGAGAAAGAGCAGGACTCTCTGCAGGACCGCCTCTCTGCATACACCTATCCGGTTCTCACTCTGCCACCCGAGGTCGTGTCCGAAATCTTTGTGCACTTTCTGCCCCTGTACCCGAGACGCGCCGCGCGCGCCAGACAAAGGGCTGTACTCTCCGGTCGTCCTCACTCACATATGTCGTCTGTGGCGCGACGTAGCGCTTTCGACGCCGAGGCTTTGGCGCACGTTCAAGATTATCCTGCGCCGCGCCAACGACTCAGGAGACAACGACGACGCCAACCAGGTCCGCGCGGAAGAATGGCTGCAGCGATCGGGCTCATGCCCGCTCTCTTTTGAACTGCATTGCTTGCGCCTCGAACCGCCTCATATTCTCCAGACGATCATGGCGCACAGCAGCCGTTTGCAACATTTGAAACTTTTTACGACCATGGCTAACCTCCCTGCCATCGTCGGACCGTTTCCCCTCCTCCGTACTCTCACGGCCACGGCGTGGCTTTTAGGCCGTCGCACTGTAATGCATTCGCCGACCACCTTTCGTGACGCTCCGCTATTAGAGCGGGTGGCACTGGACCAATACGAAGAGGTCTTCCGCAACATGCTCCCTTGGTCCCAGTTGACGGTTCTTGTGATCCAGTCCATTGCGGGAACAGAATGTCTGGAAATTTTAGCCATTGTGCCCTGTCTCGTTTATTGCGACCTCGGCATTGCATGGGTTGGGGAGAGTAATACACCGAGGTACGCCAGTTCCTAGATAACAAGTTCCATCCTGATGTGCCCGCATTCCTCAAGCCATGTATTATCGCTCGATCAACTGCAGACCCTGAAACTCCGGTCGCGGGTTCATGGCTTACCTTCCATGCTGCTCGATGCTTTCGTCCTTCAAGTTCCAGCACTTCGAAGGCTGCATATCTCCGAGGCATTTCTCACCCCGAATCCTATCGGGACCCTTCGAGCACTTCTCCTGCGCTGGAATTGCAACCCTCAGGAGATCTGCATCGCATCCCCCAAGCACGGCATTGACGTGTATTCAGAGGCACTACCCTCCATCTTGATCAGTTCTTCCCGACGTCAAATCACCATCCTTGGCTTTTTCAATCTCCAGCCAAACCGGGTCAGCCCAGAAGCTGCGACCATTCACGAGGATGACTGGGCAAGCGATATCGAAGATACCTCGGATCGTAAAGGCGCCTCGGATCGGTGAAGAGGAAAACAGCAGCGACGCTGGCTCGGATTAGTTAGGCGAGTCATTTTCCGTGCGTCTCCCCATCCTCACTGATATTCGATGTTTCCCCCAAGGTTCATTCTACGCAATCCGAGAACTGCCTCAATCCAGGCTGACCTGCAGAAGAACACATCGATTTACGGCGCGGAGACCGCCTTATTGCCCTGTGTACCCTACCTGACTCCTTATTGTCCCTCGCAACCTGCAGTCGCAAATTTGAATAATGCTCTTCCACTACCAATGAACTCCTCCAGAGAATATGGTCTGCCACGCGCCTGACTCCTATCAGTATATGCAACCTCCGAATCATGGATGCTTGGGAAGGCATCTTTCAAGTTGACCAGAGCCGCCGCTCTCCAATTTCTGACCAACGTGTTCAACTTCTTTCTGCCGGATGGCTGTGGCTCTTCTGTGACTCAATCGGCAATGGCCAAGTTCCCGCAACGAAGCTCCTCAGTATCTGCCATTCTGTGATTTCCGATTGAAAGTGCTTCTCGCAGCCCTTACCAAGGTCGAAGGACCGGGAAAGAACAGACAAAGAACATTTTACATGTATTTACATCCAGGCGAGCCTCATTGTTTCTCGAACCAAACCTCCGCTCTCTCATTCACCGAAGCGCCTTTAGGACTCTCAACATCTTCACCGGGGCCCCAGAAGCCTCGGAGCCCAACCCCCAATTTTCCTTCGACGACCGAAAACTCGCCGGCGAATTCAGGATGTGTTTGAGCTTGCACCCATGGTTCCGAGTCCGAATCATTCCCAGTGGGCTGTACGGATAGATGTGAGCATGCATGACTCGGGGTAAGCTAACGAGGGGACTCACGATGCTATTCATCCCCGTGACATTGAAAACATTGTGCTCAAAGTGGGCCAAGGCTACGTGCGACACGCCGAACCCCGACCACCGCGCCAGCAACGTGGGCAGACGAGGGTCGAGAGGGAGCTGCCGAAAATCGTGAGCCAGTTGGTGACAGTACTTTGACCGTCCCGATCTCGATTTCGTTGCACCTCCCGGAGAAACGAGACACAAGTCAAGGTTTCCGTATCCAGGGTCGTGGTATCTGCCGGCTAGACGGTGGAACGATAGCGAAGGTAATTTTGGATTTTCAGGGCGCGGTGTCGGTGCAGGACGAGCGTTGACCCCTCCGATGATGCGCGATTTGAATCTGTAGAACGACAGATTTCAAAGTCGGAATTAATTCTGGTGCAAGGCTTCTGTACCGTTCAGACCAGTCGATCGCTTCGAGTTTCAAAAATTTGTCGATGATACGAAACTTGATGGCCTCGACGATCTCAGTGCCGAAGTTCTCGTCGTTTGAGAGGACCGCGACGCCGAAGTTTTCAGTGGGAATCCGGGTGATTTGGGATTTAAACCCTGAGTAGAACGGCGGTCAGTAAGTGTTTGCCACGGATGCTGCAATAAGTAACCGTACCTGTGACAGAGCCGCCATGCTAAGGAAATTCTATTAACGAAGGGGATTGAAGACTCGGAAAGTACTCGCCTCGATATATTCTAACAACATCGAACTGACGTGAACAAAACTCAGGCAAGTTTCAATGAGACACTCACCGAACCCGCGGTAGGTCCCGCGAGACTGCCCTCCGCCATAAACCACGGGAGACCCTTCCGGGAACGGCCTACCAATGTGGAGATGGTCAGGTCGTTGACAGGAGATAGAACGAGGAGGGATTTACGCGACGGCAGCGGCGACAGTAATCCCAGACGAAACCCGCCTAATGACCTGCTCTGGAATGATGGTTTCCCCACTAACCGGGTGTCGCCCTTCTCCCAGCAGAGTCTGCAGCCACGTAGCCTGGCAGCGTATGTTAGTGGCAGATAAAAGGTATGGGCAGGCGCAACGGACCATATCCTTCGCGTTGGAGATCAAACCGCCCGCGCCAGATATCACTTGGTAGTAGAACCCAGTCAATCCAAGCAAACGAAGAACTGAATCATACGCACGATGTCCAGGATTGCCGTCATTCGGTGCCCAGTAGGGATACGCCCGTGCCCGACCCTGGCCAAAGATATCCTCGGTCTCGTTAACACCGTCTCGTCCAAAACCATCCGCAAGATGGCCGCTTTCCTCAGCCGTTTTCGAGTAGTACGTCGTAGCCCCCATGCCGAGCGGCTTGAGAATGAACCGGTCCACATACGTTTCGAACGGGATTCCGGTGAGCAGTAGGGGGAAGGAGGAAAGGAGCGAGTACATGTGGTTGTTGTATTGCCACTGTTCCCGGAAGCCGACAGAGGGTTTGAGGTATCGTAGCCGCGCGATCTAGTAACTTTTCTTCAGCGGCGGGAGAAGGTTGATCAACGCGCGCAGACATACCGTATCTGTGACAGTGCCATGCTGGAGGATGAAGTCGTGTCGAGGCAGGCCGGTGCGGTGGCTCATAACGTCCAATATGGTGCTCTCCGCCGAGGCGATGGGATCCATTAGCCCCCACTCCGGGACGAACGCCGCGATCTTCGTGTCCCAGGAGATGCGCGGCGAGACACTCTCATTGGAAATCAGCAGTCCCGTCGCCAGGATATCGAACAGCTGGACATTCAGACGATGATGAGCAGACTCGAACCGAAGGACGAAAAACTCGCCTTGGAATTGGACCCAATGCCAAACAGCGTATCGCTCGTCACCCTTGTCCCATCGACCTTCGCAACGCCGTAGCCCTTCGTTTCGACCACCCACTCGTCCTTGGAGCTCTTCCGATGCACAACAGCGACCCCGACCCCGCCAGGTGAGTTGAAATCCTTCAAAATTGAGTTGACCGCTGCGTCCACTTCAGCGTTCAAGACATCGGTTGTGGAGAGTTTAAACGGCTGCTGCTGGGCCAAGCAAACGCGCGTGAATGCGCTCGCCGTTATGGCGACTTGCAGGAGGAAGAGCATGAGGG